TGCCCCAGGCACCAGTGGCTCCACCTTCCCCAACACAATAACCGCAGGCAAGCGGACCTCGGGTAATTAATGTAATTCACTTGAAGGTCAACGAAAATGAAATACGGGGGAAGACCCAGAAGGTAAAGCACTTACAGCATGTGTACCAGGTCCAGCAGAAAAGACCTCGGACCGAGAAATGCCAGGGACCAGTAGTGTCCTTTACTAAAGCCGACCTGGAGATGGTACAACATCCGCACAACGATGCCTTGGTAGTATCCCTCCAGGTTGGTGAGTGCTAAGTGAAGTGCATTCTAATTGACTAAGGCAGCTCTTGTGACATCATGTATGTCAGGTGTTACAAGGAGCTTGGCCTTCACCCAGACGATATGAAGCAATCCAATGGCCCAATGGTCGGGTTCAATGGAACGCCGGTGTGGCCACTGGGAGCAGCAAGCTTGGAGGTGTAGGCTGGCACCAAGAAGATAAAGACAGAGTTCACCATAATCGACACACCCTCCCCTTTCAATGTTATCCTGGGAAGGCCATGGTTGCATGCAATGGGGGCTGTTCCCTCAACATTACATCAGCTATTGCGGTTCCCAACAGAACATGGGATAGAGGAGGTCAGAGGGGATCAGTTGCAGGCAAAGAACTGCTCCATGGCAGCAAATGAAATCCACCTGTAACAAACGAGAACCAGAAAGGGTAGAGATCGAAGATGAGGATGTGGAAGTCCTAGAGGACGTCGGCAAGAAGCTAGCTGAGAAGAGTGAAGAAGCCCTAAAAAAATCCTCGTCCAGTAAGGAGATGAAGAACGCTTCTTCCTTCTCAACTCGGGTTTAGCCAAATAAGAGGAAAAAGAACTGGAGGCTTTCTTGAGAGCAAACATTGAAATGTTTGCCTGACCGCCTTACGAAATGTTAGGCATTGACCCCGAGGTTACTTGCCATAAACTAAACGTAGACAGGTCGGCCAAACCTATAATCCAACGGGCAAGAAGACCGACGTTGATGCATGTTGAGGCAGTGGAAGAGGAAGTAGACAGACTTCTAGAAGCCAGAACCATTCGAGAGGTAAATTACCTGACATGGCTATTGAATACAGTGGTGGTGAAGAAAAAGAATGGCAAATGGAGGGTCTGTGTGGATTTTACCAGCTTAAACAAGGCATGTCCCAAAGACAGTTTTTCTTTACCCAAGATTGACCAACTAGTGGATGCCACTTCAGGGCATGGAAGGATGAGCTTCCTAGATGCCTACAAGGGGTACCATCAGATAGCCATGTACCCCTAGACGAAGAGAAGACTGCGTTTATCATCCCAAAAGGGCTGTATTGCTACAGAGTGATGCCTTTTGGGTTGAAAAATGCAGGAGCAACTTACCAGGGATTGGTAATCAAGATGTTCAGACACCTAATTGGCCGAACAGTGGAGGTATACATCGATGGCACGGTCGTGAAGACCAGGGAACCTAAGGACCATCTGGAAGATGTAAAGGCAACCTTTGACATCCTAAAAATATATCGGCTCTGACTCAATGCATCGAAGTGTGCATTTGGAGTTGGATCTGGCAAGTTCTTAGGATACTTGGTGACCAGAAGGGGCATTGAGGCCAGCCCAGATCAAATCAAGGCCATCCTAGAACTGAAAAGCCCAACATCGGCGAAGCAAGTACAGATATTGACTGGAAGGGTTGCAGCCCTGAATAGGTTCATAAGCAGAAGCTCAGACAAATGCAAACCCTTCTTCAGCTTGGTGAAAAAAGCCACAGACTTCTTATGGACAGAAGAGTGCGAAGTCGCCTTGGCCGACTTGAAGCAGTATTTGACCACGGCTCTAGTTCTCTCAAATCCAGAACCTGGAGAGGAGTTGTTTATATACTTAGCAGTTTCGGAATATGCGGTAAATGCAGTGGTAACTCGAGAAGAAAAAGGGGAACAAAGGGCTATTTACTATGTAAGCAAAACCCTAGCTGATGCAGAAACCAGGTATTTACCCTTGGAGAAGTTAACATTGGCTTTAATAATGGCTTCAAAGAAACTGAACCATTACTTTCAAGCCCACAAAATTGTGGTGCTAACTGAACATCCTTTGAAGTCCCTATTGCAGCAGAGAGATCTGACAGGCAGAATAGCCAGGTGGGCAGTGGCCTTGGGCTAGTATGACCTAGAATACAGACCCAGAACAGCAATCAAAGCCAAGTTTTGGCCGACTTCGTGGCTGAGTTCATGCCAGGATCCATCGTATATCGGGCTCTGTTGAGTCGAGGTGAACGATGTCTAAGCGAGCAAAGGGGAGCCCAACCGAAGGCAACAGAACAAAGGAAGGAAGAAAAACTCAGACCCTACAACATTTACATCGGTAACTCTTTTCGATTGTTTTTTGATGGGAGTTCAACCGACAAGGAACGGGGACAGGAGTAGCACTGGTATCTCCAGATGGACAGATACTAGAACAATCCATTCGTTTGGGGTTCATGGCATCAAACAATGAAGCATAGTATGAAGCACTGATTACAGGACTGAAACTGGCAGTAGCAGTAGAAGCAGATGAGGTGATAGTCTTCTGTGACTCTTAGCTTATAGTCAACCAGACAACAGGTGAGTTCGCAGCCCGAGACGAAAGGATGTTGGCCTATGTAAAGGAGGTCGGCAGATTGGTGGCCCTGTTTCAAAATTGCCGACTACAGCAGATTAGCCGAGATGATAACAGTCACGCTAATGCCCTGGCCAACCTGGCTAGTGCAATACAACCTGGAAAGGCAAGGATGATAATAGTTGACTACTTGTCGGCCCCGGCATCGAACCACTGACCACAGAGCGTGAAGCAATGTGTGTGAACGTGGGACCAAGCTAGATGGATGCAATAATAGCATTCCTAAAAGAAGGAAAACTGCCAGATGATCACAAAAAGGCACACAAGATCAGATTAAAGTCGGCAAGATTCAGTCTGACAGTAGAGGGGCATCTCTACAAAAGATCCTTCACTAGACCTCTTTTGAGGTGTGTACATCCTTCACAAGTTGAATATTTTTTGTACGAAATACATGAAGGAGTATATGGAAGCCACGCTGGGGGTAGATCACTTGCTCATGGGGCCATTACCCAGGGGTATTGGTGGCCCTACATGCAAAAAGACACAGAAGCCTATGTCAAGAAGTGTGAAAGTGCCAAAGGTTTGCACCACTGATACACCAACCAGCAGTAGACCTAAACTCAGTATCCAGTCCTTGGCCATTTGCCCAATGGGGCATGGATCTTGTTGGAAAACTGCCCCAAGCAACTGGGCAAAGGAAATACCTACTGGTAGCAACAGATTACTTCACCAAGTGGATAGAAGCTGAACCCCTTGCCAAGATTCGAGACGTAGATGTGAAGAGCTTCATATGGAAGAATATCATCACCAGGTTTGGGATCCTAAGAGCAATAGTTGCAGACAATAGAACACAATTTGACAATAAGCTAATCAAGAGCTTCTGTGCAAAATTCAAAATCAAGAATTATTTTTCGACCCCAAGTTTTCCTCAAAGCAATAGACAAGCAAAAGTGTCCAACAAAGTTATCTTAGATGGGATTAAGAAGAGGCTACAAGCAGCAAAGGGAAAATGGGTGGATGAGTTGCCCAGTGTACTCTGGGCATATCGAACTACGCGGAGAAGATCAATGAGGGAATCCCTATTTACCATGGCTTATGGCACAGAAGCAGTAATTCCACTAAAGGTCGGCATCTTAGGAATCAAAACTCAGGGAGTAGAGAATGAGACTAATGATGTATTATTAACCCGAGATCTGGATCTGCTAGAAGAAAGAAGGGAGAAAGCTGCAATTCAGTTGGCGGCATACCAACAGTAGCTTGCCAGGGTTTTATAATAAAAAGGTGAACCCACGAGAGTTCCAAGTTGGTGACCTCGTCCTGAGAAATGTCGTCGGCAAACAAGAAGGATCTCAGAGAAGGCAAGCTTGGCCCAAATTAGGAAGGACCCTATAGAATCATCTCGGTACTGGGCAATGGGGCATATTGGCTTGAAGATAATGAAGGCAAAGAGTTGCCAAGGCCCTGGAATACTTGCAATCTGAAATTTTTCTATCATTAGACTTTCTTGTTCTTTGTTATTAGCTGAAGTAATAAATAAAGTTTTAGCTTTATTTTTTTACACTTGTGATTGATAAGATACTTGACGATGTTTCTGGAATACATGCATAATGAGAACCCAAGTGGAACTTAAGTTCACATTAAGGGGCAAAGGGCTGGAGAATGATGCTTAAGAAAAATTTACAAGCTAAGATTGGTTTAACACTTTTTGAAATTTTAAGAATTTACAAGTTGAAGTTAAACCAAGGTTATGTTTAACACTTGTTGAAATTTTTAAGAAAAATTTACATGTTGAAGTTAAACCAAGGTCATGTTTAACACTTGTTGAAATATGAAAAAAATTTACAAGTTGAAGTTAAACCGAGGCCATGTTTAGCACTTGTTGAAATTTGAGAAAAATTACAAGTTGAAGTTAAACCGAGATCACGTTTAACACTTGTTGAAATTTTAAGAAAAATTTACAAGTTGAAGTTAAACTGAGGTCATGTTGAAGGATGTTGGTTTAAAGTGTTAAGTCCAGGCCGAGATAAACCGTTGGTGGGTATAACTGAGGTATTTTACCTCGAGAAGATCGCACAGATACGGTGTATTTTGAAGACATCCAAATTATTCTAAGTATAAAATCATACAAGACAGTAAAAGGAAGACAACATTACAAGCATTCAGGAGAGGAAGTTGTATTAACATTCAAAAGATGGCATGTCGGCCAAATTAAAGCTTACACTGTTTTAAAAAGAAAGAAGAAAGTACAAGGTACAGGAAAAAAAAGAGAAGAACGTCAAACTAAGACTCTTCGGCGTCTATGGCTGGTTGGGTCTGGAGTTCAGAAGACATCCATCTCAGCGGCCCTCTTAGCTGCGAGCTCGGCATCAATTTCTTGAAGAGTTTGGTCGAGGCTCTTGTCGGCAATAGGCGCGTCCGATGTTGCCTTCTCAGGAGGAGCGTCTTTGGGGACCTCACATTCCTTATCCTGAGTCAAGTCTAAGACTTGCTCATTCAGAGTAGGGGGCTTAGCCCCAACAACATCCTTCGTCTTCCTAACCAAAGCTTCCTCTTCAGACTCAGAACCGTCTTCGGATTGGCTTGGAGTAGGCGGGAATGACAGGGGGAGGTTGTCGGCATTCTTGAGGGGGGAGTCCTCGGGGACGTCCAACTTCTTGAGGGCAGCCATCCAACCAAGGGTGAAACCCTTGTTGCATGCCTGCTTCACTTGTTTTTTGTAGTCCTCCTTGACGTCGATGACCCCCTCTATGTATGCCTTTTCATCGGCGGCCTTGATCTCGGTCTCCTTTGTGGCTAAGGAATCTTGGAGTTCTTTTTGGGCCTCGGCCGTCTTTTCTTCGGCCTCTTTCTTTTCGGCCTAAAGAACCTTCTTAATGGCCTCTGCAGTATCTGCTTTTTCTTCGGCCACGTCTTTGGCTTTAATGGCTGCCACAGCCTGATCTGACAAGGTCTTCATTTTTGCCTCGGCCCTTTTGATGGCCTTCTGTAAACCACCAACCTCCTTGATCTTGTCGGCCAACTCCTTCCTTATTTCAAAAGATTACATAGAGAAGAAGTGGGCGTGCTGGATCGCCTGAAAAAAAATTGGTAGAACAAAAGTTAATAAAAATTCTCTAAGTATGGAAAAATAGAAAAAGAAAATTACCAAGTGAAGGGACTTACTTGAACGAAGTGTTGCAGCATCAAGGTGAAGTTTTCATACTGGCTCATTTCGGCGTTATGATCAAGATCTCCAAGAAGGAGCAAAGCTGTAGTAAGGGCAACACCGACGTTAACGTCATCGGCACTATCGCCAGCTCTAACCGGCTTGTCCTCCAGTGTGATTGGGGGGGGCCTAGGGGGAGTCAGACTTCATGGAGCCCGAAGCTGTTACCGATTCGGACCTCGGCCTCTTCGATCGAGTTGATTGGGATGGTTCGGCCTCGGCGGGCCTCTTCTCTGAGACGGAGGGGGTCTTCTTGCTCTCAGCCAATTTTGAAATTGGCAAGGTGTCTTCAGTGTCAATCTGAGTCACCGTTGCCTTAGGTTGGGCCTTCTTCATTCTTTTGGGCTTTGGTGTTTGTTGAGGTTGGGATTGTGCTGGTTGAGCGTTGACGATGTTGGGGATGTCGGCTAGAAGATCTTTTGCGACTGCCTTCTTGCGACCCATCTCGGCAGGAATTGTAGTTCGGCATCAGCGTTGGGATGGTGGGATCAGCGGTGGAGCCGAGGTAGATAGTTGTTCTGCTGGATCTGAGGTTGACCCCTGATCTGGCCGAGATGATGAAGTTATTGGTGGAGTTGTGGCAGAAGGAGGAGACTTGCTTTTCTGCTTCCTTGGGACGTTGGGAAGTACCGACTTGTAGGTCGGGATGAAGTTGAGCAGTAAAGGAGCTCTTCGCTTGTGGACTGGCAGGTCCAGCAACTTCTTAAGATCCTTGCTGGGAAAAAAGGACTTGCGGAAGTCTTTTGGTGGTTGTGGAAGAACTGTAAGAAAAACAGATGTTAAAACATATAAAAAGAACAAAGTATTAAAAGCTTGAAAAAATGTAGCACTTGGCTCTTACCATTACCCTCTACGAATACTGTTCGGCTGAGAGGGTAGAAGTGGAGGTCGTCATCTAGAGCAAACTCCCAGTTGCCCGAGACAATGAAGTAATCATCCCCGGCTCCCTTGTTGGAGTCTGGGAGGTCGGCAACAAGTTTGTATTCAGTAGATCTCGATTTGAGGTAGTAAACATAGCCTTTTTCTAATTTGAGGCCACATATGGTGTAGCAGTATTGGATGTCAGCTAAGGTCACCCTAACATTTTCTTGGCGTGCTAAGGCTATGATACCATTAATGACTCTGTATGAGTTAATGGTTAATTACATTGGGTTAAGCTTGTAATAATTGAGGACTTCTCGGAAAAAAAAATGTCTAGTGGAAGCCTGAGTCCACACTCAATGAAGGCGACGACCGGGAAGGGCATGGAGTTGACTGTGGGCATAATGGAGTCATCCTCCCCAGCCAACCTAAGGTGAACATCGGCTGGAATGGAAAACTCCAGCCTAAAGTATTCTAGCTTTGTCGGGGTGTCTACCCTATGTTTCTACATACCCATGATGTCGGCTTGAAGGGAAGGTATAGGATTTCAGAAGGAAGTGTTTTGTGACGATTTTTGAAGGACCTCGGCTAAAACCTAAATGTGAGCTGGGGTAAGAATTTGGGGGGATTTTAAGGGGAATTCGTTTCAGTTTTTCCTAAAATTTGTGGGTTCTACAAGCAAATCCCAAACCTAGATCTATGGAAACGAAGATTGAAGGCACGAATCTGAAAAAGACACAGAATACAGAAAACAAGAACGTGTTTCAGAATCAAGAACAGTGATGAACTATCAAGAACACTGTGACAAAGTGTGCACAAGGGTGTGAGGCCAAGAACAGTGGCAAAAGTAAACAAATTTGTGAGCAGTGTGTGTGTATTCAAGACACGAATTGGGCAAAAGCAAAATCGTAAAATAAACGTGCTCAAATACGTGATTCATAAATCAATAACTTGAGCAAAACAACAATGGCAACGAGTAATAAAGTAAAGCTTTTTGAAGAGAAATAAGGAATTCAAATAAAAAAGAACAACGGCTCACCCAAGAAAATTGAAGCCGAAGTAAAGTTTGCCGGTATCAGACAGTAGCCGGAAGCAAGGAAGTGCAGCAGAAGCCTCGTCGGAGGAGAAAGTGAGACTGGTTGCAGAAAGCTTCGCGAAAGCAGCAATGGAGGATTTAGGAGAGTAAAGGGAGATATAGTTTTTGCACGAAGACAATGATGTAAAGTGAAAAGACGAAGAGAGAGGGTGCTAGTTTTGTCAAAAATGCGAAAAGGCGGCAAAATGAAATTGATGAGCCTAGAACAACGTATTTGTCAGACAGCGTATGCAGGTGCAAGGCGACTAAATGGCGCGTATCGGACATGGTCCAGTAGGGGTCAAACGCGTGGTAGAAACGGTTGAAATATTGTGCGTGACAGCTCATACACGTGATAAAACTCTTGGAGTTCTTGGTTTAATGAAGCAATGACCTCGGCTGGTAGGAAGATCTCGGCTAAATAACTCGAATAAACTAGGTTATTGGTTCTAAAAGCGTTGATGAGACAGACTACAAGACCTGGTTGTGTGAAGCCGACGTATGATGACCTCGGTAAATGGAGATAGAGCAAGATAGCCGACATGCTATACGATATGACGATATATGTTCCATCACCTCAGGATGCCGAGATAATAAAACCTAGGGGGCAGTTGTGGAGACATGAATTTTGAATGACGACATGTGGCCAAGGTGGTGCCGAAGTGTCAGCCGAGGTGCCACGTGTCCCGATCATAACGCCGAGGCGATCTCAGTTAGGCCGAGGTTATCTCCGAAGGTACCGGAGTCCGGAATAAACGGATAAGGGATAAGAATCCTATAATGAGGAAGGATTTCAGCCTGGATAAAGATAAAACTCTTAGGAAGTTTATCTTTATCTATTGGAGAGTTCAAGATAAGCACTGAGCTGAAGTCTATTGAAGCTAGACTTCTATTGGGACTAGGATTGAGCTGGGTATAAAAAAGAGACACCCCATGGGTTTAAGGTACGTAATTTATATTCTGAATAGTGAGTTAAACATTTTTATCTTTGAGAGATAACTGACTTGATCGTCGGAGTGCCCCTGGGTGGACGAATCACTGTCAGAATCTCTTATTTCTGTTGCAGGTCGTTCGGCCTTAATCTATTCTGCCAGTGTTCTCCAGCTGAGTGCTTGATTGGTAGTGTGGTAGGAAATTGACATACACAAAATTGAATCATAATCACAAATCAATATATTGGGATTTTTAAAAAATTTCATAAACCAAACAAGGCCTTAAAATATTATTTAATAAATAAAAAATAAGCTAATTTACTATGAAAATTGAGTATAAGAGTAATGACGGTTTGAATAGTTCTTGAAATACTTACCAGCCTATCTTATGAACTGGTGTTATAAAATAAAAAATAAAAAATAAAAAATGCAATTAGACTATTTACATTATTCATATCATATTTAAATATAAAGTAATACAAATAAATTAAAAATAATCAAAATTTACATAAAGTAAAAATGTCCTACCACTTTTTAATAATTTTTTTTTATATTATTATTAATACCAAATGACTATTTCAGAATTAGACTAAAGGAATATTTGGGATATTCTAAATAAGTATATTTTTTAACTTTTTATGAAATATAGATTGAGTTTGAAGTGACGTGGCAGAGATGTGATATGACTTAAATAAATGATATGACTTAAATAGAATAATGACTTTTTAACTTTTTTAACTTTTTTAAAGGGTGCCAAACTTAGGCCAAGTTTGGCTATCCTAAATAAGTACACACTTTTTATCTTTTTTCTATCACATTATTTATCTACTTTTCTACATATTTTTTCATAAAAAGATAAAAATTACACTTATTTAAGTCATCACAAATAACACTTTATCCTATCTATCAATAGCAACTGATCATTTTACAAACACACAACAAATATAAAAAGCCTTAAAAGTTGGTCATTCTCTAAGGAGAGGCAAGGACGTAAGAAAAAAAATTATTCAAGGCTATCCAGCAATTGGACCTCTCGGTGATTATCCCACAATTTTTTTTTTTTACATTTCGTCTGTTGAGACAAAAAAAACATTTTACAAAAAATATTTTTCTTATATTTTTATGTTTGATATAATGCAAAACAAAAGTCAATTTAAAATATTTTTTTATAGGTAATAGAAACAAACCTAGGCAAGAAATAGATAATGGTGTTTGGGAAGTGAGTTTTTATGTAGATTTTAGTAGATGTAAGTTTTTATGAGATAAAAAATTTTTGGTGTTTGGGAAGATAGTTGGGTTTTTATATGGTTGGATGTGATGTTTGTGAGAGAAAAAGTGAAATGATTATGGAATTGGATGTGATATTTTGTTTGAATGTGTTTTTTTTGGTTTTGCAAAATTTTTGTCTTTTAGTGAAAAAAATGAGAAAAAAATTTGGGAACTTGCTTTACTAAAAGCATTTCCAACCTCGAACCAAAGTTTTCATTAAATCTGAATAAAAAAATGACTTTTTTCTCAATTTGATACCGAGTGCTTCAACGGTTGATTTTCATCAAATTTGTGCCGGGATAACCAGTTGGTTGACCGGTTAAGCC